AAATAACTAAATTAAAAAAATTAGTTTTAAAACGTTGAAATGAAATTCGAAATATAAAAAATAAAATGGTACCTTATTTTATTTATTTATTTATTTTGTTCCCGCTAATGGCATGTTAAGAAATGCACGCACCATGCAGGTAAAAAAGGGGAAGGAAGGAAAGAGAGGGTACGATGGTAATTTGGGAAGAATGTGGGGGTATTTCGGGAAGAGAGTCTTTTTTTATTCCTTTTTGATGTATTTTGAAGGAGAAGGAAGATTCTGTAGTGCGATTCCATTCAGGCACCTGTCTGTGTTCCCAGTTTTAGGGGTAGATGGGATTGGGGAAATGGGGCCGATGGTTGCCACGTCATTATGCCACGTGTTATATATTTTTTCCCTGAATGGTCGTTGCTCAGTCCTTCTGGGACCCACTTTGGACGTTTAGCTGTCACACACTTTCCCTACCCCCAAGGCCCAACAAAATTACAAAAGAAATAAAAATTATTTATTTTCTTTAACTGATAACAATAGTGCCAATAACGCCTTCCCGTTATAATTAAATTCTTATTTAACTGCCCAAAAAACGTTTTTTTTTAATATTTTATTTATACAAATTATATTTGATCAAGTAATTTAACTTGTAACTTCAAACAATTTCTAATTATTAATCAATTTTTAAATTTAAGAAACAAAATGGGCTCAATTATCTGAATTTATTGTCAAATTTAAATAAATATTTAGTTAAATTATCATTTAATCTTTAAAACTTGGGTTCATTTTAGTTTTAATATATGATTCCGCACACTTGTATAATTATTTGTAAAACTTGAAATAATTAAAATTTCTCACATAAAATTAAATATAGTATTTTATTTATGAATTTATTTATTTTGAAGCCTAAAATTAAAATAATTAATATTTGAAAATGTAACCCTATTACGGAGCGTTTAAGCAAACTTAGCACGTGAAGCATATGTTAAGAGGCTTTAAAGGTGGGGACCACTACATTACAGTTTCTTGTACAAATCTCCAATAATAAAACATCTACAAAAATTCTCAACCGTAAGAAAAAAATAATAAAAAGAAAAATAAATTATGAAACCTGCAACTGTCAGACATTTGATCAAATACGAACGGAGACAAAATGAATAATTATAAATTTATTCATCGCATTGTCGGTAACAAAAAGGGAAACAAAAAAAAAAGTAAATAAATAATGTTTTTATTAGTAAGGACGTTGAAGAACCATCCGTAGATAGAAACCAGCTAGCGACAATACCTAATTCCAAACGTCGACGTTTCATCCAACGTGTTTATGGCCTTTGCAATTAAAAATTAATTTATATTGGTAGCTAGTATTATTCTAAAATATAATTAATCAATATTACATGTTTTATGAATTTAAAGTCCAATGCCGACAGATTCAGTGTTGTTTGACACTAGAATATATTATTTGGTAGAGAGATTTTTTTTTTTTTTTTTTTTTTTTTTTTTTTTTTTTTTTTTTTTTTTTTTTTTTTTTTTTTTTTTTTT